AGAGAGAGAGAGAGAGAGAGACGTTTGCACGAGATAGTGGATTTCACAATTCAATTAATCATGTGTCGGCCTCACTTGACGTGCCTGTGATCTGAAAATAGCACAAGCACTCATTACCGACTTCGATTTCATTCATTCATTTATTGAGGCGCGTGTATTTCTTTTTCTCTCCCTGTAGAAAGGGTGCAAAATTCAATTGGATCAGTTTAGCACCTCGTTTTTGGCATTTAACGCATAAGATTTCTTGTTTAGAAATCAACAAATACTACACAGCGGATTGTGAGCGCGACGACGACATTGCATTTATCAGACGGTGAAAGAAGAAGAAGATGATGAAAAATTGAAACAATGAGTATGTTTGTAATCGATAACAAGCATTGTTCACTCGGTTATTGGTCTTAATAAGTCGATTCGAATCGTTTTCTTCTTCTTCTTTCCTTTCCGTTGATAAATCAATTTGAAATTCAAAGACCTGAAACTAAACAGATAAACGAGCGCTAATTGCCATTTCACATGAAGTCGAAAACGCCCCATTTACTTCGCATTCGCTGTGCATTGTTTGCGGCGCGATGCACGCGCTTATTGTGCTATAGAGCGAATTTTGAAATTCATTTTGATGCGACTGTTTTGGCACTTTCCATGATTGATCTCGCCATACACGTTCACATTCATTTGGTTCGGCTTGATTTCAATTGATTCGATTTTCGGTTCAGAAATAATGAAAAAAAAGTAACATATTTTCGTTGACTTTCGAAATCATTGAAACAAGCCTGAGGAATCAATAAAAAATGCTGTTATCTGCGATAATGAGTTCCATTTTTCAACAATGTTGTTACGTTATAGTGGGCCCTGACGATCACGAACAAAAACAAACCACACAGTTGAAATGCGCACACGAACGGAAAAGAAATGATATCAAAAATGTCATATGATTTTCCAATTGTTTTGTATTCGCTCAAAATGGAAATGCGCGTATCTGTCGTCGCTTTTGTTTGCGATCGCCAATGGATTGCCGGTTTTTTCAGCATCGCATTCATGTAGCCAAAACAATGATGACGGCAATTTGGATACAAACATATCGCCACTTGAAGTGAAAACATAAATCAACACACTCTGAATAGGGCGAATATGAATGCAAAAAAAAGTAGCAACAGCAGCAGCAGTAACAATACCACACACTCACTCTAATCATACTTTTGTTTACATGCGAACTGTGAGCATTGGGTCGTGAGTAGTACCTTTGTGGGAACAAACGTCAACACAAACACACAGTCACACTAAACTGATTTTAATCATACCAGTCACAGTCATATAATCAACATACGTAGAAACTGAGTGAGCGAACAGGCGAATTGTGTGCGCCGCTCTCTCAATGAGAAAAAAAAGTGAGACTGACTGACTGTTGCTTTGTCGTTATGCATACGTATGTGTGGAATGGAACAAAAAAGAATCGTATTCAAAACGATCGGAGCCAGCGCAACTGCAGCTTCGTCGAATACATAAAAAGTTAGTCGATCTGTGACGCTCGTCTGAAGCACTGCTCAAAATATTACTTGTTTTCGTTCCGTACCTCGTTTGTGCGATTCGTGTTCCTCGCAAACTTTTCTACCACGGTCGTCGTGATGTCCAAAAACGGAAATCCATCAAATTTGCCGTGAAACAAACAAAGAAAATAAACAACAGCCGAATCAATTTGAAATAATTTCGTGTCATTTTCGACCATAGTGAATATCACGTAATTGAGGCTATTGTGGGACCAAAGAGAAGAAGCATTGAGATAATAAAGAAATAAAGAGGAAAATAAAACAGTGAGCTAATTATGTGAATATCTTTTTACAACCTGTTGCACAAAAATCACCCATTCGATTACCGTTCGGCAATTTTGGTCGATTTAACGAAACGTGAACAAGGCTAAACGAAACCAAAAAAAATTGAAAAAGAAGAAATCAGTGAGTGAGAGAGCAATCCAAGTGAGAGAAGATCGTGTGCGTGTGCTTACTAAAATGTAATTCACATAAATTATAAAGAATTGGTAACTGTGCAATGATCTACTCTAACTTTAAAGCACGGCACCAGGATTCGCATTAAAAAAGGCATAAAATAATCACAAAAAGTCCGTTGCTGTTTTTTTTTCTACACTCATCAACTCAGGCCGTTTCGTTTTTCTCTCTCTTCAACACAAAGTGAATAACATTAACCTGTGTGCAAACGTGAATAATGTGTTGACAATGTAAAATACAGAGATTCGCCGTAAAGAATAGCACCGCAAAGAGAAATTCCTGTGGAATTTCTGATCAGAATTTTAAATCAAAAGCAAAATAACAAAACTTGTCTGTTCGTTGTGAATGAGCAATGACTCATAGTTAGTTAATGGCATCAAATTGTGTTAAAGTGGTTGCGAATAGTGATTCGATCGGAATTTATGAATGAAATACGCGCGAAAATTCCGAAGTACACAGACTCTCTATTTCTCTCTGTGTCTAGAGAAACAGCTGGATTTTTGTTTTAGATTGTATCAAATTTGATGACTGTTTTCAAACACGAACACAAACATACCCACACAACAACAATGATCTTAGAAAAAACGAAAAACTCTCTAAACAGCAACAGCAGCAACAACAACAACAATAAAAACACATCTAATACGGTGCAATTCGAATCGTTCGAATGTTTTTTTATTTCAACAGTTTTAGACACACCGACTACGGTCGATTGCACGCTCAGTTCGGAAAGCACTGGTTCGGAATGCTTGGAAAATGTGTGTCAGCGTTTATCGATAAATCAACCGGAATTTTTTGGACTACGCTATGTGGTCAAAGGCAGTGATACACAAATGCGATGGGTGGATTTGGATCGGCCGCTCAGTCGTCAATTGGAAAAGCATGCGGCCAGCCCGAAATTGTATTTGCGTATCATGTACTATGTCATTTCGGGTGTAACATTGATAACGGATGAGGTGACGCGAAATTACTATTTTCTGCAGCTAAAAAGTGATGTGGTTGATGGTCGCATATCGTGCGATCCACGGCAAGCTGTGGCCTTAGCAATGTACTGTCGACAGGCGCAGTATGATAGTTATCAAAGTGAACGACACACGGTGGATTACTTGAAAACACTGCTTCCATTTCCAAAAGCTATGATCGAAGCTGGTTTATTGGAAACACTCACCGAAGAGGTACTGCTACAACCAAATCCAGACATTCAAGGCCTAACACAGTCAGCAGCCGAGGCGCTATTCATCACAGCGTGTCAAAACCTTGATGGATATGGTCAGGAACGATTTAATGCTAAAAATGACTCGAACCACATGGTGTCGCTCGGTATCACTGTGGCCGGGATTGTGGTCACTACCATGGATGGATCATACACATTTTATCCGTAAGTTGTTGTTTTCATGAACAAATATTGAAACTTTTTTTTTTTTTAAACAACTTCTCATTTTCTTCGACTCTTTACTTTTGTCTTTGTGGAGAGTTTTCAATGAAAAATCGATTTTGTTGTGAAAGTGAAAATCGGTTCCGATGCACAAACAAAAACAAAACAAAGCCGATTTAATTGGAAATAAATGCTTAAAACTCATTTAATTGACATGAAACAGAACGAACAAAATTGAGTTGATTATGACAATTTAATTATTTCTCTTTTTTTCTTCATCTTCTTCTATTTTTCCTGCTGTTTCAGGTGGCACGAAATCAGTAATGTAGTAAATCACAAGCGCATTTTCAACATTGAATGCACCGAGGCGCAGAAAAGTGTCGGGTTTTCACTGCAAGACGCCGACACTGGTCGCTACTTTTGGAAATTGTGCGTGCTGCAGCACACTTTCTTCATGAAATACGAACAAAACCAAGAGCATCCAAATGTTGAACACAATGTCAATCTCTTCCAAAATGTGCCAGAAGACCTAAACGAAAGTCGTGATAATTTATTCGAACAATCTTCAAATATTTATGCATCGGATTCGCATATACCCGCATCGTTAATGTATCAATCACACCAGCAACTGCACCCACATCAAACGGAATCAATTGTTTCGTCGAACATGTCATTAGCAGCTAGTCAACAACAATTGCGTAGTGCCTATGAACAGGGTTGTACGCCGGTGCCGAATGACTACACACATCGCAATAGCAATTGGCAATTGGTTGGCTCCAATCAATCGCTGAACAATGGACGAACACAGAGCACATCCTGTTTGGATTTGAGCAATAACAATATTCAGGTGGAACGAGAGCGAGAGCGATTGAAAGCATTTTTGCCCGGTTATCGACCAGCTCCAGACTACGAAACAGCCGTTCAGCAAAAGTATCGATCAAGTGAGTGAAACTTTCATTTTTTTTTTAAATTCGAAAACCGTTCAAAAACTTTGCGAATCATTTTCGATGATTTTTTTCTTCAGAAATTCGTACTAAACCCATGCAACTCTTTTCAGACACACACATCAATTCGTATTCGGGAAGTCAGCCGGATGTGCATCAAGCGACCGCAATCACGGATGCAATCTTTGGCCATCAGCTACAACAAAAATATCCCGATGTCACACAAACAACCAACCCAATTTATCAGCAACATTTTGCCGATCCAAATTTCATGGGCGTCGATGGTTTATCACATCAATTGCAAATAATGCGCTTGAATAAACCACCTCCACCATATCACACAAACCGATTCAGTTCCACATCGACACCGGACTTGGCATCGCATCAATTGCTTGGCTATCGTGGTGCGTATGGTTCGAGTCCGGATTTGGTTTCGACGCGTACATTCATGAATCAACCGCCACAGTTTATGTCACAGCAACAAGTTTATCCGGTGTCAACGACTCAATCGCAAACATTCCGCTATAGATATGCTCAAAACATTGTACCTCATGGCACATACGAGAATTTGAACTATATCGATGGCCACACAAAGACGAACCTTTTGTCACAAAAGCTACAGAATGGATATCGGAATGGATCACCGTTGACGAACGGTGGCTTGATCAAACAGCACAATGGATCAATTGAACCGATCTACGAGAACATTCCGTTGCCGTGGCAAAGCGAAAATAGTCAAGCGGAAATGCGCGAACGAGCTTCAAGTATTCAATCAGCACCGGGTGTGATGCGCTTCAAAACGCAACCACACTTGAGCCAACAGTTTTTGAACGAAACAAAAAACAGTAATTTTGCCGTTTCGAACACAAGTCTGACGACAATAAACGATTTGAAGAACAATAATTTGGCGGAGCATTCAGTGCTATCGAAAAGTACATCGAATCCAATCGATAAACACCATCACAAATTTGCACACAACCAAGATTCGATTGACGGTCGAACCGGCAACAATGGAACTGTGATCGCAATCAATTCGAATTCTACATTCGAACCAAAAGTGGAAATTATTCAGCCACCAAAGCAATTCCAACAAGCGGAAAAACCCGTGCATAAAACGCGTATTGAAATCACGGCCGCACACGATGAGTCAACAACGACGAATAACATGCATGATGCAAGCAATCGATCGCTATCAAATGTTCTAGAAACGTCACAGAGTTCAACGTTTACAAATCAAACGGCCACAACGACTGATTCCGGTGTAAGCATGGAACAGAAGGAGAAGAAGAAACGACGTTGGGTTTTCTTTGGCAGCAGCCACAGTACCAAAACCAATTCAAACGAAAAGCACAAGAGTGCAACACTTGGCCGGGAAAAGGATAAGGAGAAAGACAAGAACAAAGCATCGAAATCGAAGACGATTTCACGCGACGAACAAACATTGAAGCATCGATGGTCAACGGGCCTACCGAAACTTCAACCGTTAGCTGCTACGATCAGTAAAGAGAAATTGGTATGTTCTTGGGTTGCATTCATTGTTTTCGAAATTGCCTCTTTTCATTTTTTTTTAATGTTGAATTATCTTCCATTCGACAGTCACAAATCTTGGAAGAGAAGCTTCACGATACGAAAATGTTTATGGAATTCGAATCGATACCAAAGCGAAAAGAGGGAGCTCGCTATGATTGTGCATTGCATGAGGAGAATCGAATGAAAAACTTCGATCCGAATTTCCTGCCATACGACGACAATCGCGTTCGAATCACACCGAGCACTGGAAATCGCCTGGGCTATGTCAATGCGTCACACATCCAAGTCACAGTTGGCAAAAAGCAACGGTTCTACATCGTTTCACAGTCGCCACACAACACACAAACGCTGCACCTATTTTGGCAGTGCGTTTGGGAAGCTGATGTGTACTTGATCGTCCAGTTGTCGGAGGAGATCAATTACATACCAGCCACAAGTGAAAAGTGCCTGGATTATGGTCAGTATCAAGTGTTCCAGGAGTTTTCGCAGAACACTGGTCGATGCGTAACATCCAAATTCCGACTGTATCACACACAATCGCGACGGTATCGATCCGTTTGGCATCTGAAATATAACGATTGGGCTGAGCAAAATTGTCCGCCGGACGTAGAACACTTTTTAGGTGAGAACACGTTTGAATATTTGGAAAAGTTGAAGGCAACGAGGATTTCCATTGGAATCGTTCAATAATTCATGCACACTAACTAACTAACTTGCTATGACTTATAATTGCAGATTTTCTAAAAGAATTGAATTCGGTTCGTTTGGCTTCGGTAAACGAAGTACCACCTGGTCACAATACAAATCCTCCTGTATTGATTCATTGCAGCGAAGGTGGAGGTCGAGCTGGAGTTACATTATCCTCTGACTTGCTCCTATACACTTTAGATCACAACCAGGTATGTACGGTGTACGTTGTACACAATGTCAAATCAAATCATCATTCTAAATCCGTTTGCCTATTTTTAATCCTTTGTTTACGCTCTTTTTTAACTACACAGGATTTGGATATACCCCGCGTTGTTGGTCAACTCCGTCAGCAACGAGATAACATCATTCCGTCATTAGCTCAATACAAATTCATTTACTCATTGCTAATACATTCGTTGAAACAAACACGACTCATCTAATATCATTTGTTTTTTGTTTTTTTTTGCTATTTCGTCAAAAACTGGAAAAAAACAACTCATTGTGTATATATACAGAAATCAAAATCGTGATAAACGTTTCATGATCATTTCATTTTCTTTTTTGCGTATTCGAATCGATTTATTTTACACTTTGTTCAGACACTCAAGTATTTCTTTATTCGACTGAAAACAAAACTTATGTATTTTATTTTTTTTCTAGAATTTTTTTACATGCTCTATTGTACAATGAACAAAGAACTTTATGTATTGAAAATAGTGAAGAACAACGTCTTTGTCCAAATAATTATGTATTCATTATTAGTAGAAATTCAGTGTCGTATGTTAGGAGGAGATGTTTTGAATTAAGAGAGAATGTTTAATGAAATTTCGATTTATAAAAGAGAAAGTTAACATGAGATTCGTTTTTGTTTATTAAGTTGCAATTTATCACCATTAAATGAGAGCCTACAAGAGTATTTTTTGTTAAATCGACTGCGAAATTTTCTAGAATAAGAAAAAAATATTTTTTCTTTTCGGTATTCATGGAATAGAAGATTAAATTATTTCGAATACAAAGAATGCCTTATGTGAGCTGTAAAATTAAAATGATTGCAACCCGGGCACTTTGCAACCGTGGTTGTGCGTATTTGTTTTATTCGAAATGTGACTTAAAAGCAATCTATTGTGCCTTGTATTGTTATCATATCAGCGTCAACCATCTGCCTATTAATTAAATATGGAAATAAATGAAAACAAAAACACCATCAATCATATATATCATTCGTTGAAGTTTGATTTTTGACCATTCCAATAGGTTTTGTGGTCACCTACACCATATGATGAAAAGATTTAAGGTTTGTTTGTTCGTTGACATTGCTGAAACAAGTCGAACTGCTAAATAGTTGACCCAAAGATTCATGAATGTTTTAGAGTAGTGAAATGAAAGATAAGAAGTTTGGGTTTAATTTTTATTTGGAACTCTTTCGTATTGTTCATTATTAGTCTGGGAAACTGTGATTGACTATGACTGTATATGAGATTTGGCTGCCAAAACCAGTGAATAAAAAGCAAAATGGAAATTTGAATGGTCTATGAATTGTGTATGATGACTCGATGTCGTCGATTGAAAAGTTGAAATGTTTTTTGATTCCTGATTCAGTATTGAAACGCCCTTAAAAAGAATATCGACGTCAAAGTGGTGCCTGGTCACGTTGTGATCGTCTGTCTGTCCGCCTAATTAATTAAAAACGAAAACCAAATTGATTTCGTTAAAATATGAATAGAGTAGTACACAATAGATATGATCGTTTGTCCCATCGAGAAAACTACACTTTCCGCCGAATAAAATTGGATGTAAAAATCTACTTACATTCTCTTGGTGGTAATTTTCATTTTCCGGAGCTCCGCTCTACGTCGTTTGTTCTCTTCCTTCAGACGAATTAATTCTTGTTGTGCTTGTTGCAATCGCGCCAACAGTGCAACGTATCTCGAATACAGCATTGCAAATTCGCCATCCCCCAAATTGGAAGCCATTCCTGCAGCATGACTATCGCGTGGAGCCATTTTCGATTGTTTATTCAGTACACTTCACTTCTTGCTTTTGATCGGCTTGAAAATGAGGATTTGACTGTGAAATTTGCAATGAACGTTCACTTGAAGAAATTACTGTTGTAAAAACACTTTCCAACTGTACAAATTTGTTTGATGAATTTATCTTGGTTGCCGATCTATCGATTCTGAATGTCGACTCACTCGCACCGTGTACAACCAGCAGCCGTCACACATACAAAGCCGCACGAAAATGTCATAAATGTCATATCCCAAAGTCAATACAAACCCAGTCGAATCTGATTACTCAAGCATAATTTCAACAATGTCGATTCCACTAAGGAACTGCGCTCATTTTGTGAGTTTGTTTTGATTTTTCTTCTTCTCGTTCTTCCTCTAAGCAAACAGAAACGTCTGTGTGCAACAGCATAATTAAAAGTCTGTCAATAGATGAGAGCACAAGGCACAGATTCGTATGAATATATGTTGACCGCTGCGAGTTCTTTCGTAAGCAATCAATGACAGATAGCTGAGGATATATGCTGAGCATAGGAACTCAGCAAGCTGAGATTGGTACATTTAGATTTTGTGACTTCCCTGCCATGCAAATTTATGTGATAAGATGAATTTATGACAGAAAATTTCATGGAAAGCATCGAAAAATGTGTACCAGATTCATCTTATCACATGAATTTGCATGGCAGGGAAGTCACAAAATCTTAATGTACCAATCTCAGCTTGCTGAGTTCCTATGCACAGCATATATCCTCAGCTATCTGTCATTAACTGTTCGTAAGCGATAACAGTAAAATTATCTCTTTTCTTGAAATTGATTCTTATATTTTTTCGCTGACCGAAATTCGATCCACAAAGATGCTAAACTTACCGCTGGACCGCTTGACAGCACATACAAATCAAGTATCAAATGACTCAAGAAGTATTCAAACCTTTCAAAACATTAAAATCTGTGAGTATTTTTTGCTTCCAACAACGATTTATTGAAAGAAATGAATGTGATCATTGTTTGCAATTTAAAAACATCAGTTCAATGCTTCGTTTAAAATTAGTAACCTCAAATAGAAAAAAAAATTCGAATTTTCAATGTGTGGCCGAATAAGAAAACGGAATACTATTCAGTAAACATTACATTATTGGTCTGTTGTGGCATTGAGATCGTGTTCGATTCGAATGTTTTCACGTTGGACCATGGTAATAGTTTCTAGAGCCGGATGGAGGTGGAGGTGGTTGATAATAAGCTGCAGCTGGATTCGATTGTTGAAATTGTTGCATGGTGGCCGGTTGAATTGATGGTGGCATTGATGCCTGAGCATACTGATTTGGTGCTGCATACATGTTATTTTGCGGATGCATCGCTGGTGCGGCAGGCATCTGACCCGCAGTGACATTGTGGTATTGTTGTTGCGCGTATATTGATCCGTACGACGACGCATATGAATAATGGACATTTTCGTTCGTTGTGATCAATTTCGGAATCGGTTGATTATCCAATGAACTGTCAACCGTTTGTACTGGAGCTACTACCGCCGGAGTAACGACTGGTTTAGCGGTGGGCTGTGTCTGTGTTTGTGTCTGTGTCTGCGTCTGTGTCGGTGCCTGTAATGGTACTGTATTTGGGGATTGTTTTTTGATAACTGGAGAACTCGGAATGCGTTTCGTAGTTGGTGGACTTGCTTTACTCGCAGGTAATTGAGGCGGACTCTCAGCACCTGTTGGATTTGGTTGCTGATACAAATCAAGTACCTGAAATTAATAGAGAAATTAGTTTAAGTAAACGATTGAAAGTATGTTCTGCAGCTGTTGTCTCATTTTGCACAAATTCAACACAGATTTCGTTCCAACGAAACCACACTGAATTTGAGAAATAGTTAAAATGAGCTCGCCAAGTCTAAATGGGTGATTTGGGCCAAATTCATTCATTCAATAGAATACTCACTTGATGGCAAATATCTTCCAGTATTTCCATTGTAATGTCAGCAACAAACATGTCCCACCATCGCAAATGGTTTGGTCGTCGTCCATCCCAGTCGTCAACAATGAATTTACTCAATTTGCTAGCCAAGTGAATCATTGCCACTGCTATGATCTCTGGTTCCCATTGCAGGCAAACCGTTGTACTCAATGAATCGTTCACGAAATTCCATGCCATTTGTACCATTTTCTGTAGTTTTGATTTGTCACCCTTCAAGCACTTGGCGTATCTCAGTAGAAAATTGTACGGATGCTCGACTTGAAGGTCAAATTTAATTGTTTGTAGCAAAATTCGTTCCAGTGTCATCACTTCTTCCTTCGGATCATCACCGAATGACTTGAATTTGTTATCCTGAAGCAGTGTGCGTGCTGTTTTTATAATATCCATGCACTTTTTGGGTGTCTCTTCGACTTTCCCTGCTAAAAAGAGGCAACAGCATGCTGTTACGTATCGTGGAAATGTTTTGAACGAGTGAAACATGTAGAAACGGTGAAAATACACAACGCCAGTTGCAACTGTGTTATGGCCCAATCCCATGGCCGTGCCACATTGCATGATGAATCGCGCGCCTTCTTTTCGATACCGTCGCTCGGTTTCGTAATCCAGCCCTTCACGGATCGACACTGTGCCTCGCAAATCTTTTTTATCATAATACCAACACGGCATTTTGGTTTGTACTCAGAAATATTCCTTGTATCAACTAATACACCATTTACGTGGACACACAAACACTCCGAACTCAATCCGATTCCAATTTGACACAATTATTCGCTATCGAAGTCGTTCGTTTTGTTTATCTTTACTCATTCTCTTGAGGTACTCGAGAAAAAATCTGTGTTAAACGTGACCACTTTGCTCAATTCAACACCGTTCGTTCTCCAAGCGAAGTGATGGTTTGACAGATGCTATTAAACAATTCTTTTTTTGACGTTTAACGCGACACCAACACAATGGCTGGTTCAGTACCATGAAGCTGTCAAATGTACACGATTCAAACGTTCAATTCCGATCGAAACGTTCACTTTTGCATTTCGATTTGTGTGTGCATCATTTGGAAAGTTGGTTTGAGTCAAATCGAAAGCATCCCCACGAACCGAGCTCAGTCCGAATAATCAGTTCAGCATAGAGGTCAATTTAAATTGGATATTCGTTCAAATTTAATCAATTGAATTTTAGCGCTTTGAGTATACAGTTATTACATTTCGGGAGAATTCCATTCGCATTCATACGTGCCAGAAGGGAGAAAGAAAAAAACCACACAGTTTTACGATATAAATCGAGGTAATTATTACAAAAACTAGCGTTTTATCTCAACAAATTTAAATTGATTTGCATGAAATCAAACAAAAATTCGCTGCAAGCGATAAAAAGATAAGTGACACAATAATGTCGATAAAATGATTTGCAAATTTCAAACGAAAAAAAAAACTCTATTGCCAATGTGTGTGCATTGTCTGCCATAAATCAGTTTGACATCACAACGAAGCGGCTTTCACTAGATAAAAAAAAACAGTCGTCTCAACTCATCGTTTCTGTAGTGATTGGCATAGAAAAAGTGAGGTTATGTGTGTCATTCAAATGAAATGTCATTTACAAAAGCTGTAGTTTGTTGAACACACATTTGTCGTAAATATTCTCGAATTTTTTTTGATGTGATTGCCAAATATTACGTGAAAAAACGATAAATTTAACGAAAATATGTTGCGTGTACTTGTGAATCGACTGAGGACAGCGTCAGCACTAACACAATGTACGAATTATACATGGTCGAGTGTAGCTAAATTTTCAATAACACCGTCATTATCGCATGGTGAATATGAGTGGCAGGAACCGAAATCCGCCAAAGAAATTGTCAATATAACGTATATAACGAAAGACGGAACGAAAATTCCAGTCAAAGGGAAAATCGGTGACAATGTTTTGTATTTAGCGCATCGGCACAATATCGATATGGAAGGTGCATGTGAAGCGTCATTGGCTTGCACAACCTGTCATGTATACGTACACGGTGATTATTTGCGAAAATTACCGGAGGCAACCGAAAAAGAAGATGATCTCTTGGATATGGCACCATTTCTCAAGGAACACTCACGGCTCGGATGTCAGATTATACTTACAAAAGAGCTGGACGGCATCGAACTTACACTACCGGCAGCCACACGAAACTTTTACGTTGATGGTCACAAGCCGAAGCCACATTGAACAAATAAACACACCGTTTTTGGCTGCTATTGTTTAAAACTTGTTTTTAAAATTAACCATGTGATGCAAATATATTAAACGAATTAGTCGAGACAAAATACCGTGCCTATCATTTCATTCGATTGTTATAAACATACATAGATATGTAGCATTTATTTGAATATTCGCTGTCATGCAGACAATTCCTCTACCCAGGTTCATGTTTTGATTCATTGATTCAATGAGAACGCCACAATGCTAGACAAAAAAAAATTTCGCCCGCCACCAGTGTTATCGTCCAAAAGTTCAATTTAGACAAAGAACATGCACATCAACGTAATGTAAATAGAACATTTCGTATCGTATTCTTTTTTAAATTACACTTAATCAATCCTAATTGCTCCACTTCAAGACGTAGTATGTAGGATAAAATGATGCGACGCAATCAAAATTTTGATCAATTGTTCTTGACATAAAGTCAACTGTGTTCACGATCTTACAACTCTCTGTCAGATATCAGTGTGGCGTGCACAGTACGCGTTTATACAAATAGTTTGGAACTACCTTCGTTTAATATGAGTAATGCAATCGGGAATTCACAACTGTGTAAACGTAGAAATTTTGAAACAAACGTACTTTGTCTGACGCCGAATAACAAAAACTGAAGTATCTTTTTTCACATCAAAATATCATCATTTGAATTCATCACACATTGAAGTCACGAAATTGTCACATTTCCGTCGACGTCGTATTTGAAACTAAAAAAAAAGTCATAACATTTTGTCTTCTTTTCGGCTTATCTATTCAATTAATTTCGTTTCAAGTCATTTGTGTGCGTGTTGATCCTCTCAACACTCCGCGTTTCTTCCGTTTATTAAATTAGTAAATTTCAAATCATACACACAACAATTCATTCCGTCTTGAGATAGCTCTCTTTTGAACCGTTTGATTCTGGCAAACAACATGCATTTCAAATTGAGTGCAAGTTTTCTAGTCATTTCTTTGACCATTTTTTGTGCTTTGATTTGGATTTTTGCAGTAAAATTCACAACAACCGATACGCCTTGCCGCAAGTATACAACAAAAATGGTTCGTGATTTTTCCTATCCAGTTGCACGTCGCGATGAGAGTGTCGCCGATGAATTTCATGGTACAAAAGTGAACGATCCGTATCGATGGCTCGAAGACCCCGATTCTGAAGAGACGAAACAATATGTCGAGGCGGAAAATAAAATAGCGCAACCATTTTTGGAAAATTGCGATAAATGGAAGAAAATCAATGAAAAATTAACCGCACTTTGGAACTACCCAAAATACACTGTACCTGATCGACATGGAAAATACTATTATTCTTATCAAAATACGGGACTACAGAACCAAAAGTAAGTGAAAATTTCGGAATTGGTCATTTTAATTTTAAATTTGACGCTGTACCAAATTCTACGATTTATATTTTGTTTCAGTGTTTTGTACAAACAAAGTTCATTAACTGAGGAGCCAACCTTGTTCTTCGACCCAAATACGCTGTCAACCGACGGCACCATTGCTCTGTCGGGCAAGGCATTCTCGGAAGATGGCAGCTTGCTCGCATACGGTCTCAGTGAATCCGGATCCGATTGGATCAAAATCAAAATTCGCAACGTTGAAACCGGTGAAGATTTCCCGGATCTCTTGGAACGAGTGAAATTCTCGTCGATGACATGGACACATGACAATAAAGGCCTTTTCTACTGTGTAAGTTTAAATGATTTCATAGAAAACAGATTTGTTTTCTCAAGTTTTCGTAGTTAAATTTTTCTTTCGATTTCAGTTGTTCTATTCAACCGTATAAAACAACAATTTCATCTAGTTTAATTGATTGAATTATATCTTTTAGCGCTATCCCGATCAAGAAGGCAAAACTGATGGTTCGGAAACCGTAATGAACGAAAATCAAAAGTTGTACTATCATCGCGTCGGTGAATCGCAGGAGAAAGACGTTCTGGTTGCCGAATTCCCAGAGAATCCATCATGGCGAATGTAAGACATATACGATGAATTGTAACTATTATTATGAAAAATTGATTTCAACTCGGTTTCGTCTCAATTTCGAAAAAATAGGTCAACCCAAGTTAGTGACTGTGGTGTATACTTGATTGTGACTGTCGTTAAGGCATGCCGTGACAATCTGCTGTACTTCGCCGATCTGGAAAAGAACGGTCCAATCACCGGAAAAATTCCACTCACGCCAATTGTTACCAAATTTGAGGCTGATTATGATGTAATTAAAATGAAATCTAATTTTGTGCTTACTTTTTGTCGATTTATACTCAAGTCCAATGATTTTAAATGATTATTTTAGTATATTACCAACACTGGCTCAAAGATGGTGTTCCGCACAAACAAGAATGCACCAAATTACCGTCTTATTGTGATTGATTTGAATAACTATACCGAAGAGAACTGGGGCACTCTCATTGAGGTAAGTTTATTGATGAGATTGTTTTAAAGGATTCCAAAATTGGTGTGCATTTTGTACTGAATGCAAAATATTTTCATAAAATATATAGGAAGATCCAAAGGACGTATTGGATTGGGCTCATTGCGTTGATAAGGATAAAGTTGTGACCGGTTATCTGCATGATGTGAAGGTATGAACTCACTTAAAGAGTCAAACTATGTCAGTTTGGTCAATGAATTCAAGAAAATCCATTCATTTTTTATCTCTTTCCAGAGCGCTTTGCAAGTGCATTCACTTGAAACGGGTAAGCTGATTCGCAAGTTCCCGCTTGAAATTGGCCAAATCGTTGCGTTCAGCGGTGATAAGAAGTACACCGAAGTCTTTTACCAATTGGTGTCATTCTTAACGCCTGGCACAATCTATCGATATGATTTCGCAACACCCGATGTCGAGCCAACTGTATTGCGCGAAGTCAAGTTGAATTTGGACGGCTTCGACAAGAACAACTTCAAAGTGGAGCAAGTGTTCTATCCAAGTCGTGACGGCACAAAAATTCCAATGTTCATTGTGCAAAAGAAAACGGAATCAAAAGCGCCAAAGCCATGCTTGCTCTACGGTTATGGTGGATTCAATATCTCGTTGCAGCCAACATTCAGCGTGAGTTTGTTGTTTTTCATCGATGCATTCAATGGTATTTTGGCATTCCCAAACATCCGCGGTGGCGGTGAATATGGTGAAAAATGGCATAACGGCGGTCGCTTGCTCAACAAGCAAAATGGATTCGATGATTTCCAAGCGGCAGCTAAGTATTTGGTTGAACATAAATACACTGAACCCAAGAGAATTGCCATCCAAGGTGGTTCAAACGGTGGATTACTGGTCGGTGCTTGCATCAATCAACGACCAGAACTCTTTGGCGCTGCTGTAGCTCAAGTCGGTGTTATGGATATGCTTCGATTTCACAAGTTTACCATTGGTCATGCATGGATTTCCGACTACGGTAACCCAGATGAGAAAGAACATTTCGATAATCTGTACAAATTCTCACCGGTACACAATGTACGATCGCCAAACAGTACTGAAAACCAATATCCATCAACACTTATCCTAACGGCCGATCACGACGACCGCGTCAGTCCATTGCATTCCTTGAAATTTGCAGCCGCCTTACACAACGCTGTCAAAGACAACGAATTTCAAAAGAATCCAATTCTGTTGCGAGTTTACAGCAAAGCCGGTCACGGTGCTGGCAAACCAACTGCCAAGAAGATCGAAGAAGCCACCGACATCCTTACCTTTTTGTACCAAGCTCTTCATATCGATGTCGACATTTAATTAACTATAAGCTTTCTTTTTTTTATCAATTTGCCAAGTCTTTTTTTTTTAATGAATTGAATCGAATTTTCCAACAGAAAAAATGCAACACAATTAAGTATTCAGTAGCATGTTTTGGAAGTTTTCCGTATTTGCAGTCAGTTTAATAAACGAAAATAAGTCAACATTGAAGAAAGTTCAAAATTGAAATGAATATAATTCAACCTTAATTTTATGAAAGAAAATGCTGCGTATTGAACCCAGTTTCTGTTGGATAACAAGCGTTTTAAATTCGACCATCAAAATCTACAGGAAAAAATAAAACTTAATGTGAACCTTCGAACCTTTCAAAAGGCCATTTCATAAAAAAATTTAACATCATTTGTTGTTCAATAAAGAAAGATCTTTTCAAATGAATAAAATCGGTTTATCTTTATTTTCATTTTGAAGTCAGTTGCGCTTTCGCACTCACTGGTTTTGCAATTCAATTGTATTTTTTTCGTTCATTTCAGCACCACGAACAATGATAAAATGTGAAACTATAACGTAAGTACTCGGCTGCGTTCTATTCCGTATAGTTGCTATCATTTCATCAATTATTGCTATAATTTGGTCAGTAAATGTCAAGAAAATATTATAGACGGATCGTCATTATTATTATACCCGGCTAATCATTATTTCCAACGGTGTTGCATGGTCACCGCATCTTACGATGTGCATGCGACACTCGCAAATCGCAATTATAAATGAACAATGCAAATTAGAATAAAGTTTGATGCTGCCACATACACATTGGATTAATAATCATTTTCACCTAACAAAGCCACTACAATATTTATCTTGGGTCCAGTACATTGCTAAAAGGTAATCTTCAAACACATCTTTGGAAATATATCTGAAAGCTCAATCACGATTGTGATGAATTTCGTAAGTATGATATTCGGTTGAATAAACACATATTTTGATTTTAAAAAAACAACATCATTCTGATTCACGAGTTTCAACTACGATGAGTAGACAACTTATAAATGTACGAAACTTGTTGTTAAACCTCAACATTAACATATAAAGAAGATTAGAAGAAATGCGTTATATGTGATTTATTTTAAATATTTAATGGCAGAGGTTATCCCATTAAAACAAGACGACATAAAAATAAATGAATCTCATATTCAGGCTATCCATAGCCTCTCTATAGAGAATGTTCTTAGATGTTATGATTTCACCGATTTGTCCAGTTTTATCAGCAGTTTTATCTTCAAACTGAATGCATGCAAATGTGAAGAATAATAATTCATTTGAGAACCGCACAATTTCGGTGAATAAATTACATACTTTCTTCGGAATTTCGTGATTTTATTGGGTCAATCAATACTACCTGTTTGCGAGATTTTTCTCAACTTCTTTTCTACAAACTGGAACTGATTCCCACTCTAGCGCTCGCGGACGACTGAAATTATGTCGAAATATATAAAACTGGTAACTTGATTAAACGACATTTCAGTTCATCTGCAATCGGATTTGCAACAAGATTAACCATAAACGGAGTAGTAGTAGTTCGGTTAGCTTGAAATAGCAAACCAACGAGAGAAAAAAAACATGAGATTCACGATATTGCTAGCACGTTGCTTGGCCGTTGTTTTGACGGGTAATTATTTGTTGTCATTCATCTACGTGCCTTGTCTGATAAAGCGTTAATTTGCGCAATGGTATACAATGTACATTTCCTTTCCGTTCATATGATTTGTGTGTTCAACGGTGTGCACGCTGAAAATGGTTTATTTTTTCATTGTAATGGTGTGATCTCGACAATTTCAGAATGTATTTAGACCATTAATTAATATCAATGTGTGTTTCACAACGTTGGCCTTGACAGTGCAAAAACAGCATTGAATAGAATATTTACACACATTCCACGGAATAAAATGTGATGCTAGATCGAAGAAAAAAAAATGAGCGAAACAAAAAGAGTGTCACTGTAAAAATATACGTGTGTCACTTGATCATCACTTTTTTTTCGCCGAGTCATTCAAGTGAACAACTAAGCCTAACATTCTAACAGAAATGTGATGTTTGTTCAACAAAATTTTGCAGATTTGATCACAATAAAGTGTTTTCATTCGAACATTCAACATGACTTCTAGGCTCGGTGCCGTTTTTTCATTCATATTTTTACTCATTTTGTGTGTTTTTATTTGGATTTTTGCAGTGAAAATCACAACAATCGGTTCGAAAAATGTGAATCATTTTGAGTATCCACTTGCACGACGTAATGAGAGTGTGATTGACGATTATCATGGAATCAAAGTGGCCGATCCATATCGATGGCTCGAAGATCCTGATTCCGAAGAGACGAAGCAATTTATCGAGGCGGAAAATAAAGTGGCACAATCGTTTATAGAGGGCTCCGGTAAATGGCACAAGATCAACAAGAAATTGACAACGCTTTGGAATTATCCAAAATACAGCATGCCTTGGCGACACGGAAACTATTACTATGCATATGAGAATTCCGGTCTTCAAAATCAACAGTAAATATAACTGTTTTGTCTCTGTTAATCCATTATAAATTTGAATTTGTTGAATCGTTCCGTTGAAATGCGTTAAATTTGCTAAATAATTACAGTGTTTTGTATAAACAAACTTCGTTGAATGACAACAAACCAACGGTGTTTTTGGATCCGAACAAATTCTCCAAAGATGGTACCATTTCATTGCAAGACAGAGCATTCTCTGAAGATGGAAGTTTACTCGCATATAGTGTCAGTGAATCCGGTTCAGATTGGAATAAAATTAAATTTCATGACGTTGAGAGCGGCAAAGATTTTCCAGATCTTCTTGAAAAAGTGAAATTCTCGTCAATGTCATGGACACATGATAACAAAGGATTGTTCTATAACGTGAGTTTTTCTAAGGTCAATATCATTGAAAATTGCTATAAATACCATGTACATCTATTACAGCGTTACGACCAAGACGGCAAAACCGATGGTTCAGAAACCGTTGTGAATGAGAATCAAAAGCTGTACTATCACCGTGTTGGTGAATCTCAAGACCAAGACATTCTTGTTGCTGAATTTCCACAACATCCTGGATGGACAATGTATGCATTTTAAGATAGTGTTTAATGTATATGCATTTACTATGAGTCTTGGATATTGTTTTTATACGTTAACATAATTTGTTTTAAATAAATAGCGCGGGCGGCGTTAGTGACGATGGCAAATATTTAATCATAATAACCAGTGAGACGGAACGTGATAATTCGGTATTTTATGCTGATTTGGAGGAAAATGGTCCAATCACGGGAAAAATTCCACTAACACCTCTTATAACGAAAATGGATGCTGATTACAGTGTAAATAAAACCGAATGCCATTTTCTCTTCTTATGTAAAATACTCAAATAATAATTTACTTTTTTATATTCAGTATGTCACCAATACCGGTACAAAATTAGTGTTCCACACAAACAAAGATGCACCTAATTATCGTGTGGTTGTGATCGATTTGAAAGATAGCAACGAAAAAAATTGGATTACTCTCATTGAAGTAGAGTACAAATTAATCGTTCACATGTAAAAACCACATTAAAACATCCGCCTTTAATTATAGGAACACCCAAGAGACGTATTAGATGGAGTGCAGTGCGTTGATAAGGACAAGCTCATTGTTGAATACATTAATGATGTGAAGAGTGTATTTCAAGTGCACTCACTCGAAACCGGTAAATTGATTCGTAAATTTCCGCTTGAAATTGGTCAACTCGCTGGATTCAGTGCGCAGAAGAAATATTCGGAAATGTTCTATCGACTGGAGTCATTCTTATCGCCTGGCATTATTTATCGATATGATTTCGCAACGCCCGATATCGAGCCAACTGTGTTTCGTGAAATGAAATTAAACTTGGAGGGTTTCGACAGAAAAGATTTTAAAGTGGAGCAAGTGTTCTATCCCAGTCGAGATGGTACGAAAATTCCAATGTTCATTGTGCAAAAGAATACTAAATCTGGAGGACCAAAGCCATGTTTGCTCTACGGCTATGGCGGATTCAATATTTCATTGTTGCCATCATTCAGTAAGATGGTGTTGTTCTTCGTCAGTGTATTCAATGGAATTTACGCGGTTCCGAATATCCGAGGCGGTGGTGAATATGGCGTCAAATGGCACGATGGAGGTCGTTTATTCAATAAACAAAATGGATTTGATGATTTCCAAGCGGCGGCTGAGTATTTGGTGGAACATAAGTACACAGTACATAAACAGATTGCAATACAAGGTGGTTCGAACGGGGGACTGCTTATTGGAGCGTCAATTACTCAAAGACCTGAGTTGTTCGGTGCTGCTATAGCTCAAGTCGGTGTATTGGATATGCTTCGATTCCACAAGTTCACCATTGGCCATGCGTGGATCTCCGACTATGGCAATCCAGATGATAAAACTCACTTTGAAAATATTTACAAATTCTCACCGTTACACAATGTACGATCGCCAAACAGCACCGTGAGCCAATATCCATCAACACTTATTCTTACTGCCGATCACGATGATCGAGTTAGTCCATTGCATTCATTGAAATTTGCGGCTGCTTTACAATATGCTGTCAGAGACAATCAGTTCCAGAAAAACCCAATTTTATTAAGAGTTTACAGCAAGGCAGGGCATGGCGGAGGGAAACCAACATTCAAAATTATAGAGGAAGATACCGATATACTGGCATTTTTATATCAAACGTTGCAAATTGATGCCGACATTTAATTTTAATTTCATCACATATTTTCTATTAATTTATCAAAACGTTTTTTTTTTAAGTTGAATAAAGTTTTCCGATGGAAAAGTACAATTTTCTTGAGCACTCATAGCTTCTGTTTTTGATTTGCGAAATAAAATATTGATAAAAGTTAAAACTTTTAAGGTGTGAAATGAATAATATTCATTGAATATCTTTAGGATTTATATTTGGATTGATTGACGTGTAAAACATTTCTGCAGTTTTCTATAAAGATGTTCCAGTTATGAGACTATGAAATATCTCATTGAAATAAACGATAATAATAATAGTCGCAAGAATGGATAAGAATATGAATAAAATTGTGTTTTCAGCACCATTATAAATCAATTATCGAACTTATCTAACCTGATCCTGATTGCAAAATATTGATTACATCATTATTTATAAACGTTAAATTCTAAGAATTTCGATAGGAGTTTTAAAAATAAAGCATATGTGTTTTCCATCCATGATAAATGTAACGACTCATTTTTATATACATTGAACTTTATCAGTGGTACTATCAGTGGTAATGGTTTCTATCTGAAGAATTTCTTTCATGGAATTAACAATAGATGTGTGAAGTAATTTTACGACATAAAAGTGGTAATTTGATTAGTTATATCATTTTGGCTAAGCTTTTAAAATGAGGTTTTTCGCAATTATTGGATTTTGCCCAAATTGTTGTTTCGGCTGGTAAACTATTCAAATTTAGTTCAATTTTTATTATTTTCGAACACATTTTTATCAATTTTCTTTTGTTGATTTGGATTAATGAAATTTGTACTGGAATTCACAAATATTCGAGATCTCCGATATCCCGTTGCCCGACGAAATGAGAATGTGGCCGATGAATATCATCGAACAAACCGTGTAGAAAACAAATCACTGACTGACTGACTGCAACTAAAATCTACTGATAAGCAACTTTAGTTGACTGAGCAGATGTTTGGTATGAATAGTCGACTTCGATGATTTTTTAGCCAGTCGCTCAATCGGGGACATTTTTAACTGTAGTAAACTTGGGATTGCAGTTAAATTTGTACTAAATTATCACTTTTGGCCTGTCGACTATGTTCCGAAATAATCGATTGGTTGCTCAGTCAGAATATTTTCACACGGGAAATATTATTATTATATTACAAATACTCGACATTACACAACGTAAGATCGTCAAACAGTACAGAAAATCAAAATCCATCAACACTTATTTTAACTAGCGATCATAATAATCGCGTCAGTTCATAACATTCATTGAAAATCACTGCTACCTTGCAAAATACTATCAGAGACATTTAATTCAAAAGGAATTTAATTTTTTATGAGAGTTTACATTAAAACAGAGCATGGTGACAAGGCACTTTAAATTGATTCTGAAATTCAATTCTATATAAAACGAATTACATACGCAATTCAAACTTTTCCGCTCCGCGGCAATTTGGTTTACCTCCCGCTTAGCAGTGATGGTTTTTCGTTAGCCAGCATTGTCTTGGCCTTGGCTTACACCAACAACTGGTGTAAGCCAATCGTTAGCCAGCTATCTGTGTGAAATGAGTACATTCAAAGTATAATAATTTTTGATTTGCATATTGCATTGATTCAAATCATACAAATTTTGAAAAAAATTATTATATTTCAATTAATTTTCAATTCAAAAGTCATTTTTATAATTTGAGTTATTTTTTTTTTTCAAAAACTTCAGTTTCACAAACGTCAGTTCAGATGAATGCGTTCAGTTCTTACTGAAGTTTTCTCACTGGTCTACACATTCGTTAGCCAGTATACACTTATGCAGCTAATTAGCCTGCTAATTGGTTCTTCACTGCCGCTTAGTATTTAACCAAAATTTCAATAAAAACTCTTTTCATAGCACTTCTGAGCTTGAAAAATAACTATTTTGACCATTTTCCATATAAAAATGTCATTTTCGAACAGAATTTCAAAAATTTCAAGAAATGTCGGTTTTGGACCAAATTTATGGGCAAGTAGGTGTTTGGTTGTTCGAAAGTTCCCTTTTTTGACAAAAAAAATAATCAGTTTGCCTTGACCAAAGTCCTGAAAAATGGCTTTTTGGGTGATTTTTCATACAAACATGTCTTCTTCAGAGAAAATTTCCAAAAATGTCGATTTCAGGCCAAATTTATGGGCAAATAAGTATTCGGTTGTTCACAGACCCCCATTATTTTTTCAAAAAAACATAAGTTTGCCTAGATCAAAACCGTGCAAAATGCTTCTTTCGGGTACTTCTCATACAAAAGTGTCATTTTTCAAGGTTTTTCAGGTCGTCAGTCAAAATTGGTAGATCAGAACGGGCTCAAAATTAATCCGAAGCTTTGTCTCGACATGTCAAATCTTTTGGCTTTTACAGATCTCAATTATCTTGTCAACTTTTTGAGATATCCGGCGAACAAAAAACGCGAACGACGCCATACGCACATCGCAATTTTACACATTTTTCATAGTAAACAACATGTTTTTGGAAGCAAATAGGTCTTGATCGATAGGATTTCATCCCTTCTACTTTGCCTAGTTTACAGATATGTGCTTTTTGAAGCTTGGCGCGACGTTATAGTGGTCCGAAAGAGGAGAATGTCCAATACTTTACCTAACAAACAAAGTTTGCGGAAAAGTAATAAAATTGTTCCATTTTCATACGTTTTAATCTTAACACGCGACTTTTGAAACAGATAAAAAATACGTTCCAGTTACTACGAAATCTATTTTCGAAATAGCGTACACTGTACTTATTGATGTCAATATAGACATTAAGTAGCCATCACATTAACATTTCCAAACGAAATTCTGCTGAACATATGAATGGCATAAAGATAACGGTTTCTTTCTTTATTGCTTGTTTTGACAATATTTATTGATGATTCACGAATTTTACGATCTCTTCAGAATCTATTGATGGGATGTATGACGGTGTTTGCAAAAAAAATAATCCAAATTTTTGGTTGAATCTTCGAAATATTTGAAAACTTCTGCACAAACGAAATAAGAGAGTTAAAACACCTTCGTCAAAATACAATTGCTGTTTGCAATCACAGGTAGAATTTCTACCGTGGAACTAAAATTGCCTTATCGTTGTGTCATCAAATCACTATTAACCTATTGAACTAATTTGGCTGCAACGTTAATGAATTATGCATGTGTGCATTCCAATTTGTATTATTCCTCCTTCTCTGCGTAGTTTTATTCAGAACTGAGCTACTTATATATTTCTACTATCAAGTTCTCCTCTTCGAACTATATTTTTTGCCACATTCCCACTTCAAATACTTATATACATAAGGGGTCGAGATAACGGCACAATATATATTGGGAGTTCGATTTGAAATGTTAGCTCAGTTATAACTTGATTTTTGACAAGAATAGTGTCGACGGATAAGTTCTTATGCATGAAACAATGAGGCTTATCGTATTGATAGCTTTCTGTTTAGTCGTAGTTTCGGCCGGTATTTATTTGTGTTTTTTTGTTCGTTGTGGTTGGGTTTTTTCAATGTGTGTTGTTATACGTGTTAATAGTTAATAAATATGATTTATGTTAAAAAATGTTGATCAATTGCTTTGGAATTTTACAGCAAAGATTGAGTCATATCAAACTGTTCGTGATATTACATATCCAAATGCCCGGCGAGATGAGAGTGTGGTCGATGATTTACATGGAACAAAAGTGGCCGATCCATATCGATGGCTTGAGGATCCTTACTCGGAAGAGACGAAACAGTATGTCGATGATGAAAATAAAATATCACAATCGTTCCTAGAGAATAACGATAATTGGAAGAAGATAAATGAAAAACTGACCAACATTTGGAACTACCCAAAATTCGGCGTACCACAGCGCAAGGGAAAATACTACTTTTCTTTCAAAAATTCTGGCCTACAAAATCAGAAGTAAAAAAGTTTGCTTTTCTTCAACTATAATAACGCTGCTAATCGAGCCTGCTAAGAGCTAATAACCAATTTATTAATTGCAGTGTTCTGTACAAACAGAGTTCATTGGATGAAGAGCCAAGTGTGTTTTTGGATCCGAATACATTGTCCGATGATGGTACAATTTCTTTGCAAGGCAAAGCATTCTCAAAAGATGGAAGTATACTTGCGTACACTCTCAGCGAATCTGGTTCAGATTGGGTGAAAATTAAATTTCGTAACGTTGAATCGGGCGAAGATTATCCAGACTTATTGCAAAGAGCTAAATTTACATCGTTAGCGTGGACACATGACAATAAGGGATTGTTTTATAATGTAAGTGCTTGATCATTTTCTACAGTACAAAAAACGATATTCATTTTATCATCTTATGACAACAATTTTCTTCTTTAGCGCTATGATCAGAACGGAGATGGATCTGAAACCGATTCAAACAAGAACCAAAAGTTGTACTATCATCGCGTTGGCGAACCACAAGAAAAAGACGTTCTCGTTGTTGAATTCTTAGACAATCCATCGTGGTTGATGTACGTGATGAGAATGATTTGAATTCGTATTCTCGATGATTAATTAGTTCTTTTTTTTGCATTTAGATCGGCAACAGTGAGTTCCTGTGGCAAATATTTGATTGTAATATCCGAATTAGGTAATCAACTCTTATATTATGCTGACCTACAGAAGAATGGCCCAATCAATGGAAAAATTCCACTTACACCGATTGTAACGAAGTTCGAGGCTGATTATCATGTAAACAGCAAGCATCCGCATCCTTCTTTAAGTGATTTTTATTAACTCTCATTCCATTCATTTTTTCATTCAAGTACATAACTAATACTGGATCAAAGGCATTGTTTCGTACAAACAAAAATGCACCAAATTATCGCCTTGTGGTGATCGATTTCGACAACTTTGCGGAAAAAAGTTGGACTACTCTTATTGAGGTATGGTTTGACAAAACTAAAATTCACATACATTTTAATCATAAAATTCTCCATGAAAATAGGAAAACTCAAATGATGTCTTAACATGGGCGCAGTGTGTTGATAAGGATAAAATTGTAATTCACTATCTTCACGATGTTAAGGTAGGTTGAAATCGAATGCGAAATAATTTCCACTGAAATAAATGTCTGTTTAACAATTCGTCTTCTTAATTTCCAGAGCGTTTTACAAGTGCACTCCCTGAAATCGGGCGCATTGATTCGAAAGTTGCCGCTTGAAATCGGTCAAATCGTTGCATTCAATGGTGATAAAAAATATTCCGAAATTTTCTATCAACTCGAGTCATTTTTAACGCCTGGAACAATTTATCGATATGACTTCTCGAACCCCGACATTGAGCCGACTGTGTTGCGCGAAGTTGAATTGAATTTGGAAGGATTCGATAAGAATGACTTCAAAGTGGAACAAGTATTCTATCCAAGTCGTGATGGTACAAAAATTCCTATGTTTATTGTGCAGCGAAAAACCGAAGCTAAAAAGCCTAGACCATGTCTGCTGCACGCCTATGGAGGATTCAATATTGCAACACAACCATCATTCAAAGTGCCATTTCTGTTCTTTGTCTATGCATTCGATGGCATTTTGGCAGTTGCAAACATCCGTGGCGGTGGTGAATACGGTGAAAGATGGCACGATGCAGGTCGTTTACTCAACAAACAGAATGTGTTTGATGATTTCCAAACGGCAGCCGAATATTTAGTCGAACAAAAGTATACGATACAGAAAAAGATTGGAATTTATGGCCGTTCAAATGGAGGACTACTCATTGGAGCTTGTATCAATCAACGACCAGATCTCTTTGGTGCCGCAGTGCCTCAAGTCGGTGTTATGGATATGCTTAGATTCCACAAGTTTACAATCGGTAGTGCATGGATCTCAGACTATGGAAACCCAGATGAAAAGATTGACTTTGAAAATATTTACAAATATTCCCCGCTGCATAATGTGCACGCACCAAACAAAATCGAAAACCAATACCCACCTACATTAATTCTAACTGGTGATCACGATGATCGCGTCAGTCCATTGCATTCGTTGAAATTTGCTGCCAATCTGCAATATGCTGTTAGAGACAACCAATTCCAGAAGAATCCAATTTTGTTGAGAGTTTACAGCAAGGCAGGGCATGGTGACGGCAAACCAACTGCCAAGAAGATCGAAGAGGAAACTGATATCTACACATTCTTGCAACGAGCTCTTCAAATTGATATCGACATTTAGTTTAGGCTATTTTTTTTATTAAGAAGATACACAAAACAATATCAGTTGAATTACTTTTGAAAGTTGCAATGTAACACATTCCAAAGTGTCATTAACATTTCTAAATGAAATTCTACTTAAATGTAAATGGTACGATAAGGATTAACTGCATATTTGAAGTGATGCCAATGTTTTTATTTGATTTAGAGATAAGATCGTAAAGTTTAAATTCTTAAAATAAATCAGTACTTATATGAGCACGATAACTCATTTAAAATGGCATTTTTTCAAGCCGCACTTTTTTCTCCTGGACTCCCAACTATAACACTCATAAACGATTGCGATAACGTCAGAATATAAAAGTTCAAATTTCACTTGAACATTTTGCAGTTGCAGCTAGACTTCCAACAGGAATAGTTTTGACCAATTTTGATAAAAATGCGGCTCATATTATTGCTAGCTCATTGCTTAATCGCTGTTTCGGCTGGTAAAATTTCTGAAATTTAATTCAGTACATTTCATTTGATATTATTTCCATGAAGAAAAAAAATCGAATTTAATTTTACATTGAATATTTCTAGCGAAGTTTACAACGGCCCACATTATACGTGATATTGTATACCCAAATGCTCGACGGAATGAAAGTGTGGTCGATGATTTGCATGGAACAAAACTAGCCGATCCATATCGATGTCTCGAAAATCCTTATTCGGAGGAGACGAAGCAATTCATCGATGCTCAAAACGAATTATCGCAATCATTCTTAGCGAAAGGCAATAACTGGAAAAAGATAAATGAAAAACTGACCAAAATTTGGAACTACCCAAGATTCGGCGTACCACAGCGCAAGGGAAAATACTATTTTTTCTTCGAAAATACTGGCCTACATAATCAAAGGTAATATAAATGTGATACAACCATTTGAACTTTGATGGACGTACGAATCGATTGCAGTATTCTGTACAAACAGAGTTCATTGACCGATGAGCCAACTGTATTCCTCGATTCGAATACATTGTCCGAAGATGGCACAATTTCTCTGCAAGACAGAGAATTTTCCGAAGATGGAAGTATTCTTGCATACACTTTGAGCGAATCAGGTTCCGATTGGATGAAAATCAAATTTCGTAACATTGCAACGGGCAAAGATTATCCTGATCTCTTGAGACAAGTTAAGTTTACATCGTTAGCATGGACGCATGACAATAAAGGATTGTTTTATAACGTAAGTGTTTGGCTATTTTCTACCGTACGGTATTACAGTCTTTCTTAATAATAATATTCTTCATTTTATCATCTTATAACAACAAATTTTGGAATAATTTTAGCGTTATGAACAAGACGGAGATGGTACTGAAAACAATATAAATGTGAATCAAAAGTTGTACTATCACCGCGTTGGTGAACCCCAAGAAAATGACGTTCTTGTTGTTGACTTTCCAGAAAATCCACGATGGACTATGTATGCAAATTAGAACATTTAAATTTGTTTAAAACCTTTCATGTGCACTCGCTGTCATTAACACATTTTTTCAATCATTAGATCGGCAACGGTGAGTTCATGTGGCAAATACTTGATTGTGTCAGGTGGACAAAGTTTTGTGAACTTTGCTGATTTAGACAAGAATGGTCCAATTAACGGAAAAATTACACTCACTCCGATTGTAACGAATTTCGATCCTGGATACGACATGGGACTATTTGTAAGTAGAATTAGTTTTTAATCTTGTTTTCTATTCTATTATTTTTGTTCAATTTATTTTTCAAACCATATATTTCAGTACATCACCAATACTGGATCGAAGGCAGTGTTCCGCACGACACTGAATGCACCAAATTATCGCCTTGTAGTGATTGATTTCGATAACTCTGCGGAAGATAATTGGAGTACACTCGTTGAGGTACGTTTTGATAACGTTTAAAGCTGCTTTAAACTCGAATGTACTTTGTAATGTGAAATGTACACAATTCAATTGAAATGATTACATTACAGGAAGACCCAAACGATGTGCTGAAATGGGCACATGCCGTTGATGGTGATAAAATAGTTATTTCATATATGCAGAATGTAAAAGTATAGCACTTTTTTCATGCAAACATTTCGACCGATCTATTAAAAGTTTTCATTTTTAGAGCACATTGCAAGTGCATTCTCTGGAGACGGGTAAATTGATTCGCAAGTTTCCTATTGGAATTGGTCAAATCGTTGCATTCAGTGGTAGCAAGAAATACTCGGAAGTTTTCTACCATTTTGAGTCATACCTAACACCGGGCATAATTTATCGATATGATGACTTTAAAATGGTTCGATAAAGATGACTTTAAAATGGAACAAGTATTCTATCCAAGTCATGATGGAACGAAAATTCCTATGTACATTGTGCAGAGAAGGGCTAGTTCAAAGGAGCCTCGTCCATGTTTACTCTACGGTTATGGAGGATTCAACGTTTCACTTCTGCCATCATTCAGTGTGCCATATCTATTTTTCATGTATTTTCTCAACGGCATTTTGGCGATTCCGAACCTCAGAGGTGGTGGTGAATTCGGCATAAAGTGGTACAATGCTGGTCGTTTATTCAACAAACAGAATGTTTTCGATGATTTTCAAGCGGCAGCCGAATATTTGGTCGAAAGTAAATATACTACGAAGAAAAAGATCGCTATCAGAGGAGGTTCAAATGGTGGATTGCTCGTTGCAGCTTGTATCAATCAACGACCAGATCTCTTCGGCGCTGCTATAGTCGGTGTGATGGATGTGCTTCGTTTCCACAAATTTACCATCGGTCATTCATGGGTTTCAGATTATGGCATTCCAGATGAAAAGATTTACTTCGAAAATGCTTACAAATACTCACCGCTGCATAATATACATGCGCCAAACAGCACTCAAAATCAATATCCATCAACACTGATGACAACTGCTGACCACGATGATCGTGTCAGTCCATTGCATACATTGAAATTGACTGCGACTTTACAATATGCTATTCGGAACAATCAATTTCAACAGAATCCAATTTTGTTGAGATTTCACAATAAGGCGGGCCATGGTGCAGGCAAACCAATTGCAAAGAAAATTAATGAAGAAACTGATATCAATACGTTTTTATGTCAAGCTCTTCCAATTGACATTGATGATTGAAAAGTTGACACCAAATTACGACTAAATTTTAAATTTTTCGACAAAACACACAGTGCACGGTTTGAAATCTACAAATACATCTATGCGATTTTCAGTAGAGTGGAGCGGTCTATAGTATAGACTCTATACGGAATTATGTATAGTCTGACGTTTAGAAGCGGTTTTGGCGGAGAAACATATATTCTGTGCTTGTGTTGGTTAACTACGAATCTTTCAACGCCAAAACCGCTTCTAAACTAGACTATATATAAATTCCGTATAGACAGCTCCACTCTACTGAAAATCGCATGGATGTATGCGTAGATTTCAAACCGTGTGTCATCATAATTTTTATTTAAAATGCAAGGCGAAAGAAATTCGTACAATAAAGATAAACTGCGATGCCAATGTCGCAAACAAAAACCCACTTTTTGAAATAGAGACTGATTAAAAACACGCAATCTATGATAAACTTGAATAAAAACATTTTTTTTGTCCACTGAATTTTTGTGTTTTTTTTTTTGTATGCGAACATGTTTGTTTGTTTGTTCGTCCATTATTTATTGATGATTTCTTAGAAAAATCGAATTCTTATTCAAAACGTATGAGTACCACAGAGTTCTACACTTTTGGACCTTTTAGGTAAAGTCGAATCCACCTGCCCCACAAAATAAAAATATATTCACACTTTCGTTTCAAATTCTACTAACGCTTGGGAATTTATTTTTCTTGGAACAATTCAACTCATTATATGGGTCGTCATAATGCCATGGTATATAAATAGGAACTCCGTTTGAAAGTTCCTCAGTTCAGTTAAAGCTAGATTTCGAACAAGACAGCTTTGATAAATAATTATTATTTTATTTTATTTTTTTTATTTTTTTTTTATTGAGTAAAGGTGTAAATAACAGGAAAAATCCCTTTTAAATTTATCACCTATAGTTTGTTTTTACAGTTTTGATAGTTACTTTGATCAAAGCATTTAAACATTTCAGTTGGAATAAAAGAAAAATTATTGAATTCTCGATAATGATTGAAAAGAAAAAAATAAAGAATAAATTATAATTTCTGAGCAAAAAAGAAAAATAATCGAAATCAAATCCTATTTTTAATTGCACTCTTGAATTGCACTTTGCTTAGGTTCAAAATGTCAATGTCGGTGAATTTTCTATTATAGAGTAGTTGTGTTCGCATTTTTGGATTGCGATGCAGACCGTAGTCCGTTCTAGATGTATGAGGATTGAAAATTTGATGATTTCTCTTAGATTGACGGTTCACTCTAATGATTGGCCTGTTGTCACGGACTAAATTTGCATCATGAACAATGTT